TAAAAGTTCGCGGTCGCTACAAAGGGTGTGCTTGAATCACATTATTTTGTAATAATGTATTTTGAAATAATAGATTGATAGATAATCTTTGGTTGAAAAAAAAGGAAAAGTTACTGATGTGATGAAAAATATTATTTTATTGAAAAATGTATGATTAAAAATAAATAAAATAATGATAATGAAAATTTTAACGTATCTCAAACATGGGCTAAATCAACTCTCTAAAAATTCTACAATTAAACAAAATACTTACAAAAAATTATCAAAACATGTTCAAAATTAAATTTTTTTTCTTTTCTAATTTTAGAGACGATTTTTTTGACTTTTCAAAAGTGATATCTAATTGTCCTAATGGTCTTGTTGCCTAAATTATGATGGAAGGAAATTTTTAGTTGGCAGGTATAAAGGTACAACTCATTTATGAAGGTTAGGTTAGGCTAGGCTGGGCTGAGTCAATATAGACTGGTTCCCTGAGTTCCCTCTCCGCCCATCACCATTTATGGAGGAAATTTTAGTTGTGTCTTATGAACATTATTTTAAAAGAATATATTTTGAAATAGTAAATCGATAAAATATGTGTGGTTAAAAAAGAAAAAAAAATTATTAATATGATGAAAATATTATTTTATTAAAAAATATGTGATTGAAAATGAGTAGAAAAATGAGAATGAAAAATTTAATTTGACTCAAATATGAGCTTTAATTTGATTGAAATTGTCGGTATGAATATCTGCTAACACTGAATCAGTTCAAAAGGTCAGGTGGCTTAATATTGACATTGATTTACATAAGAGGTTTTAGGGAAAAAAAAAAATTTTTGTTTTTCTAGTTGGAAAAGTAATTGGTTGCTACTAAATTTGATGAACAACAATGCTGCCTGTACATGGCCTTGCTTTACTGGGCTTGTACAGGCCTCTCACATGGGTGGGCCTTATGTGATTAAAAAAATCCACCCACATGTGAGAGGCTTGTACATGCCGTATGAAGCATTGCCCTGTACAGGCAACATTGTTCGAATTTGAAATAGAATAAGACAGTACGCACGAAACTTATTGAGTTCTCCTTCTCCATTAATCTTGGTCGAACATTTGCAACCAATGCTTGACAAACTCGATCTCATGGACCCTAGGTAACATGTTAATTGTATGAGCAATCATCGAATTTTCATTCAAGTGTTCTGGATTTCAATTGGTAACAGTTAGAAAGAGTAATGGTATTTAACTCCACTGAGATTACAATCACAATCTAGGTGACGTTAATGTAGCGTTAAATGGGTGAAATTAAATAAATCATTTAATTTTACCTGTCATTTAGTTGATCATCTAGCGCAACCTAAATTGAGATTATAATCCCAATAGGACTACATAACATTACTCAATTAGAAAACTTCATTTTAAGAGCAATAAACAATTATATTTGTGAAAAGTACGAAACAAAATAAAACTTGACGAGTACCCAACTTCGACTACATAGCCCAACAAATGTTCATCGAATATATTTGTTTTGTTAAGCTCTTAAAGCTGTATTTGCTACTATATTTTGTATGTATTATTAAATAATTTTTAGATTGATTAATAATTTAAAACAATATTAAAATAAGAAAATATTTTTTTACATTTTTTACGTCTAGGCTTATCTAGCCCAAGACCTCCACGCCTCACCACGCATCACGCTTTTTAGAACACCGTATTTATATATTGAATTTGATGAATTTTTTATTCTAGTTTTTTTTTTCATTTATTATTTTAGTGACAAATAACATGCAATAAAAATATTTAACTGAACTGAAATGACCCATATCCATATTTGATATATTTAATTAACGAATTATTGAATTCGAATCTTGATCAAATTATCAGATTAAAACTTTAAATCCATCTTCCATTTCATCGAATTCAAATAAAAATTCAATCTACTGACAGCCATAACCATGGAAAAGTTGTTTATCAAATTGTGGATGTGATTTATATAGCCTCCTTGTAGCAACTATCGGGGCAAAAATGCCACCTAACTACCATATTTAGAGTGTGTTTGAGCCACATTATTTTGAGAGAATGTATTTTGGAATAGTAGATTGATGGAGAATATGTGTTTAAAAAAGAATGAAAAGTTATTGATGTGATAAAAAATATTATTTTATTAAAAAATGTGTGATTAAAAATGAGTTAAAGAATGAGAATGAAACATGGCTGAATCAATATCCATTTTTTCAGTATAAATTCTCCTCATCAACGTATCAAAATCCAATCTCATATCTTCTCCTTTATGGATCCCAACGTAACCGACCTACTTCACGATTTTCCACCATTCTTCCGAGTCCACAAAAATGGCAAAATCGAAAGGTACTTAGAACCCGATTTTGTGCCGCCGTCGCACGATCCAACCACCGATGTACAATCGAAAGACGTTGTAATTTCGCCGGGAAAACCCGTTTCAGCTAGGCTGTACATCCCCAAAAGTGTAACTCCCAATCAAAAGCTGCCACTCCTTATCTACATCCACGGCGGCGCTTTTTCAATCGAATCGGCGTTTTCTTCCCTATACCATAACTATCTCAATAGTCTAGTAGCCGAAGCTAAGGCCATTGCAGTGTCTATTGAATATAGATTAGCGCCGGAACATCCTGTTCCGGCGTGTTATGACGATTGTTGGGAGGTAATTAAGTGGGTAGAATTGCATGCTGGTGGACAAGGTCCGGATCCATGGTTGAATGAATTCGCGGATCTCGACCGGGTTTTCCTCGTCGGCGACAGCGCTGGAGCCAATTTATCTCATAACATGGCAATACGAGCCAGTATCGACGAATCCAGATCTGCTATCAAAATTGTCGGTATAGTTTTGGTTCATCCATTCTTTGGGAACCACGAACCTAACAAGCTTTGGAATTTCATTTGCCCAGAAACGACAGGGTTGAATGACCCGAGACTGAATCCGGCTGCGGATTTGGATATATTATCGAGATTAGGGTGCAAAAGAGTGTTGGTTTGCGTTGCAGGGAATGATTTGTTGAAGGCAAGGGGCCAGACTTACTACGCCGCAGTGAAGAACAGCAATTGGAAGGGTGAAATTGAAATTATAGTGACTGAAGGAGAAGATCANCAATGCTTGACAAACTCGATCTCATGGACCCTAGGTAACATGTTAATTGTATGAGCAATCATCGAATTTTCATTCAAGTGTTCTGGATTTCAATTGGTAACAGTTAGAAAGAGTAATGGTATTTAACTCCACTGAGATTACAATCACAATCTAGGTGACGTTAATGTAGCGTTAAATGAGTGAAATTAAATAAATCATTTAATTTTACCTGTCATTTAGTTGATCATCTAGCGCAACCTAAATTGAGATTATAATCCCAATAGGACTACATAACATTACTCAATTAGAAAACTTCATTTTAAGAGCAATAAACAATTATATTTGTGAAAAGTACGAAACAAAATAAAACTTGACGAGTACCCAACTTCGACTACATAGCCCAACAAATGTTCATCGAATATATTTGTTTTGTTAAGCTCTTAAAGCTGTATTTGCTACTATATTTTGTATGTATTATTAAATAATTTTTAGATTGATTAATAATTTAAAACAATATTAAAATAAGAAAATATTTTTTTACATTTTTTACGTCTAGGCTTATCTAGCCCAAGACCTCCACGCCTCACCACGCATCACGCTTTTTAGAACACCGTATTTATATATTGAATTTGATGAATTTTTTATTCTAGTTTTTTTTTTCATTTATTATTTTAGTGACAAATAACATGCAATAAAAATATTTAACTGAACTGAAATGACCCATATCCATATTTGATATATTTAATTAACGAATTATTGAATTCGAATCTTGATCAAATTATCAGATTAAAACTTTAAATCCATCTTCCATTTCATCGAATTCAAATAAAAATTCAATCTACTGACAGCCATAACCATGGAAAAGTTGTTTATCAAATTGTGGATGTGATTTATATAGCCTCCTCGTAGCAACTATCGGGGCAAAAATGCCACCTAACTACCATATTTAGAGTGTGTTTGAGCCACATTATTTTGAGAGAATGTATTTTGGAATAGTAGATTGATGGAGAATATGTGTTTAAAAAAGAATGAAAAGTTATTGATGTGATAAAAAATATTATTTTATTAAAATATGTGTGATTAAAAATGAGTTAAAGAATGAGAATGAAACATGGCTGAATCAATATCCATTTTTTCAGTATAAATTCTCCTCATCAACGTATCAAAATCCAATCTCATATCTTCTCCTTTATGGATCCCAACGTAACCGACCTACTTCACGATTTTCCACCATTCTTCCGAGTCCACAAAAATGGCAAAATCGAAAGGTACTTAGAACCCGATTTTGTGCCGCCGTCGCACGATCCAACCACCAATGTACAATCGAAAGACGTTGTAATTTCGCCGGGAAAACCCGTTTCAGCTAGGCTGTACATCCCCAAAAGTGTAACTCCCAATCAAAAGCTGCCACTCCTTATCTACATCCACGGCGGCGCTTTTTCAATCGAATCGGCGTTTTCTTCCCTATACCATAACTATCTCAATAGTCTAGTAGCCGAAGCTAAGGCCATTGCAGTGTCTATTGAATATAGATTAGCGCCGGAACATCCTGTTCCGGCGTGTTATGACGATTGTTGGGAGGTAATTAAGTGGGTAGAATTGCATGCTGGTGGACAAGGTCCGGATCCATGGTTGAATGAATTCGCGGATCTCGACCGGGTTTTCCTCGTCGGCGACAGCGCTGGAGCCAATTTATCTCATAACATGGCAATACGAGCCAGTATCGACGAATCCAGATCTGCTATCAAAATTGTCGGTATAGTTTTGGTTCATCCATTCTTTGGGAACCACGAACCTAACAAGCTTTGGAATTTCATTTGCCCAGAAACGACAGGGTTGAATGACCCGAGACTGAATCCGGCTGCGGATTTGGATATATTATCGAGATTAGGGTGCAAAAGAGTGTTGGTTTGCGTTGCAGGGAATGATTTGTTGAAGGCAAGGGGCCAGACTTACTACGCCGCAGTGAAGAACAGCAATTGGAAGGGTGAAATTGAAATTATAGTGACTGAAGGAGAAGATCATGTATTTCATTTGTTTAAGCCGACTTCAGAAAATGCTGTTTTCTTGTTGAAGAAAATTGTTGGCTTCATGAATAAGGACAAGCTTCCCTCTGTTCTTTAGACTATGGCGATGGATGGATGTTGAAGCATGTTTATGTTTGTTGCTCAGTATTAGACTGCGAACAAGAGAACAAATCGGACTTTAATTATATTTCTTATTTGAAGTCATCTATATTATGTCTATAAGAGAATATTGAAAAGATCGTATTATGATCGACGTTTGTTCATTTTGTTATTTGTATGTCGATGTTTACGCTCTAATGTACGTCCCCTCACGATAGAAAGGGCTCACGATCAATTAAAAAATTGTGAACCCCCGAGTCGTACACCGAGTTCACATAGCAAAACCCTTAACAAACTTGGACAGTAAATTTAAACTTCAATATCCGTTCAACTTTTCTCCACTAATCTTGGGAGAAGTTTGACTAATTAAGATGACTTTAAGGAAAATTTTTATGAGTAATGTAATTTGTACATATTTATAGAATGATAACATAAAAGATAGTGGAGGAGGTTGTGAATTCGCCTGTCTATAACTGTTATGACTTCTTTGGACAATCACTTTCAAAATACAATGCTTGAATCGATTATACAGCAGTCACAAGTGATTTTCAAAATCCTCAAGTTTTACTCCAAAATAATATTGGAGAAAAATAATTTTTAGAATCAATTTTTTCTAAAGTTCTGAAGATGAAAATTTTTTGCACTATTTTCAAGAAAATGAGATGTATATATAGCCCAAATATTACTTCCAATATTAATCGAAATTAGTAAAACAAAACTCTTTATTTTATTATTTCACTAATAAGTAAGAATTTAGTTATAAAAAAAAAACTATGGTTTTTATGATTTCAATAAATTATCGGGTTATTATTTCAACTGGCTAGTTGACCAAAAAAGAATTCGAAAAGAATTATAATAAATCATAAAACAATTATTTTAATCAAAAAGGTCCAATGTCCAATCTTAGACTTTTGAGTTTTGAGTGTAATTCAAACCATCGACCTCCCACATAAATTTCACATTTTTTACTACTCTACCAACTATCTCAATTTAATTATTTCTTTCATATAATACATATGATATATATCTAGCATAGATTGGACATGACACGACTATTAAGATTTTCTATTATATTTATTTCTTCCTCCGTCTTATAAAATTGAGCATGGTAATTAAAGATGCAATACCGCTTATGTAAAAACTTGTGGAGGAAAAATATTATGGAAAATTGATTCATTATTGTATAATCATGTACTATAATCATGTACAATGTTTCTTGTACTATATACAATTCGAGAAAGGAAGATACATACTAGACTGGAAAGAAAATATGGACTTTGCTATGTGTACAGCCTTTTTGTACAGCAAATTACACAGCCCACACACATGGGGTGGGGCCCACATTTTTGTGGATCCCACCCCATGTGTGTGAGCTGTGTAATTCATTGTACAAAAAGGCTGTACAAGAACATTTCCCATATATATTAAACAAAGATTGAAATCAAATCAAATCATATCTTCAATCAATTATATTGCTATCATATGACAATCTTGCCAAATTTCAACAAGTATCTTCCAAGTCCTGCCACATTCCAAAAAAAAAAAAGATAGAATGTACATATACTAAAAGCAACGTAAATACATTTCTTTGTAAACATCGTAACAATCAATATTCACGACTTTTTTTCATCCTATCGAATCATTGAATCATTGTGAATAAATTCTAAAAAATATAAAAATGATAAATTTGGTGCCTGAACCAATTAAAATGTTACACCGACTTTTACACGTAGGACCAACGACCCTTTTCATATTGCTTTCCGCAAATGTCTCCACGGGTATTAACTTCTTTTATCCCATCGAATATGCGATTAGTTAAAATTGTTCTGTTTTCAAATTCCTGGAGGTTTGCACATTGGACAAAGATTTCTTCTACAGTTTTAATTTTCTAATGTTTTCCTTTGTGGTTAATTTTTTCAATAATGCTACTTGCACATCGGGGATTGACACTCTGAGGGGCCGTGCGAAAAAATAAAAAAAAGGCGAGCTCCCTTTATGTGAGGGGGGTGTCATTCGGGATGTCAACCCCGAATATACAAGTAGCATGATTGTAATTTTTTATATTTTTGGTTGGATTATGATATAGGAGACGTCATATTCCAGTTATCTTTTTTTTGCTCATTTTTTTGTAGACGTCATAGCTTTCAATCCTCTTCGCCAAAATAAAATTTGGTTATGCTTCTTCCCGTTGTTGAAACCGAACTTCAACTATTCTCTCCGAAAGTAGATATTTAACTTTCTTTCATTCTTCTTTCTACCGTTGCTCGAACAAAAAAATTTGATCAATCAACTATTCACCTTTGCCCAAAACTTTAACATCTCTTATTCAACGTTAACTAATTCAACTTATGAACCCACCAGAAAAATTAGTCGTAGATCTCAATGTCGTGTTCTGATTTTTTTATGAGTAAGGTGGTTACCAAGTTGCATCAACTTTTTGGATGATATATAATATAATTAATATAAAATAATTATAATCAATACATTTTTTTTATTTTGATGGTGACTTTGATTTCCACGTACAACATTAATTAAAGATAATTATTTGAACAAAGCCCTCGTGATCTTGGGTCCCTATTAAGAGCCCATTTGATAGAGATTAAAATCAAATTAAAATTGAAAAATTAGTCGTTATTATTGACTTTTATTAGACGAGTGAGGCCCAATAATGGCTATATTTTCAATTTTAATTGAATTTCAATCGGTACCAAATAGGCCCTAAGTGCAATCGAAGCCGTCACTTTAGACAATGACCTTTTTGTCTCGTATGTTTTCAGTATTTCATTAAATAAAGTACATTTGTCTAATGAAAAGAAATACATCTCGATTGTATTGAATAGTATGAGAATAAAATAATTATCAGATACTATTTCTAGCCCACGGTAACTCTTGAATTATCTTAGAGAAAATGATAAGATGGTAGAAATAGAATAACCGACCAACGAAGAGATTATTCAAGAAACTCTGAATATGCCTACCGATGATGATAATCGTGTTTTACCGGTTTTTCCTTCAAAAGAAGTTTTTCAAGCATCAAAATTTTAAATAATCTTTTTTTTCCTTACAAAATGGAAGAAATGTACCGAATATGGTATATGTAAGCAAAAAAATAGGAATGATGTTTAGTAAAGTGAATCGAACAATATTAAGATTAGAAAAAGAAGTTAAAATCTTGTTTGTTGTATATCAGATTGTGAAGTATATTGTATATCAAATATGCTCTTTATATTTATTTGTGCAGTCTATACCATCATATTTTGACAATTCTCCCTCGTATTTTGTGTTAATAGTAATCTGTTTATTTGAGCATTTCCCCCTAGCACGAGGGTGTATAAAGATTGTAGAATGCAAAGATTTATAGGAACGGATCATTTTCCCTCATCACTTGATTCAAGTCCTGGATGCAAATCCAAAGATTTTAAAATTGAACCGAACTTGTTTTACTCGGCCTTGTATAACGAGTACTTTAAGTCCTATTTTACTCGTGTAAAATTTACCCGTATAAGTACTTTGAACACTCATTTATTTCTCAAGTGCCAAAAAATGTAAATCCAGTTCTCTACACCCAAGATTCATGTGGAAGTGGGGCCCATTTTTGCATATTTTCTACAAAAATGCTAGATGTACACTTCAAGTGTACATTATCCTTGACATTTGATGTATTGTTAAAAAAATGAATAAACACTCCTCTCACAATTGAGTGAGTGTAATGCATGATGTACACCCAAATGTGTATATCAAGCATTGCTCAAAAAAGATTGGAGGAAAATTTGTTTAATTTTTTTAACTATTCAATTGTGTTGTCATGTGATAAAATGAAAAGAATGATGTAAATGTAGCATGATTGTATTTTCTATACCCAGTTGACACTAACCAAAAAATTCAACTAACAATATGATTTTCACTCTTTGGCTGTTTAATATATTGTGGAGATTAGTTTTCAAAAAATTATTACATAGACAGGACATTAGGTGATTTTTCTATGAAAAAAAGTTTAGCGAAACAATTTCAAAATGTCTTATAAGGAACTTATTTAAGACTTGAAATGATCGAATTAACCTCTGTTTGGTAGACATTTTTGTGGAGAGAATGCATTTTTTTTATTGATGTGATGAGGAATATATGGTTAAAAAAAAGAAAAGTTATTGATGTGATGAAAAATATTATTTTATTGAAGAATGTGTGTTTGAAAATAAGTAAAAGAATGAGATTGAAAAATATAATGTGGCTCAAACAGGGGCTTAGTCTAGTTCTAAACAAAAATTTGAATGCTTTCTTCCGAGAAAAACTCTCACCCCTAATCACAAAAATATATATAATTATTTTGAACCTCCTTATCCCCAAATGCCTCATAAAATATCCCCAAGAGTGTTTTTGCAAATCGAATTGAGTGTAAATTTATTTTATTGAAAGAGGTGAGGTTGAAAAATGAGTTTAAGAAAAAATAAATCTTAAAGAATCTTTACGAAATATGAGCTTAACAACTTAATTAGACTGCGAACCAGTTTCAAGAGCGACTTTGAGCTTTCATACATACTTTTAATAAATAAAGTAATTTTACAAATAGATTTATATATATTTCCGTATATTCTTTAAACAATCATTTTCAATAAATTCATCATTAAAAAATGTGCATCAAACGTTCTTCAAATACATTTAAAAGAAACTAATACTTCGTATAAATTTCTGGAAGCCAGTGTGAATTGCTGATTATATTTAAAACAAATTAAACACTTACTGGGAATGACAAAGATAAGTTGCAGAAATGAAGAAGAAATAATGAATTTTGTAACTCGAGGCTGGTGTTTAATATTAATTTTTTAAGACAAATTTGCCCCACCAAAGTACTCATGGTATCTTGATAATCGTCTCCCAAGATGCAATGGTTCCATCTTTGCTGTTGAAACACTTTAAACGACAAGGAACAACGAACTCTAAATTGAATAGCACTATCTACTTTGAATGGTTTTCTAATGCAAGACGGTTTTGATTTTGCAATGATTTTGATGTAATACAATCAATGCATATGATATGGAATGATTTTAGAGTATTAAGGGAGTCCAATTTATAAAGGTTGAGGGATTTTGAAATGAGAGACACTCCCAAAAATTTTGCATGTTTCACTAACATACACAACTCTTCAGACATCTAACTAATCGCTCACTTGCCCGCTCGCTGTGTGGAAAGCGGTTGCTTGAGCGATCAAGTTATATAAGCAATTTTTTATTTTGTTAATCTCACTTTGTATATCAATTTCTAATTCATTCGGAATTGGTTTTATGAATCCAAATATACCACGATCATTTACTCGAGAAGTAAAACAAGTTAGTCTATTTGTATGTACGAATTGACTACTAAAATTATTCCAAATATTTGGTCGAAATCGATACAAAATCAATATTTATATAATCAATTTCAACAAGGTCCACACGTCGAAAACGAAATTATTTTATTCTATATAAATTATTAGCAATCATGCTACTCATACAAGTGAGGGTTCATGGGGTGGGGGTGATTTTGTTGACGGACACAAATGCAAGGGTGGGTGGGTTTTTTATTTTATTTTGATGGGTCCCACACACATTGCAAGAGTTGGTAAAATTTTTATCAACCATTTTCATGTGAATAAGGGAAAATTGAGGCTATGGTCTCAAACCTTTCATTTTGTTGCAGATTACACACAAACCTTTCATTTTTGCGATCGAAGTCCCAAACCTTTATATGTAGTTGCAGAGTCGGTCCCAAACCTTTAATTCCGTCCATAAAATCGCCAGTCAACGTTTCAACAGTAATTTTGACTCGAAAAAATTTAACGCTGGTCCCAAACCTTTCATTTTGTTGCAAATTACACCTAAACCTTTCATTTTTGAGACCAAAGCCCCAAACTTTTATATATAATTACAGCGTTGGTCCATTTCACGCATTTCGTCCATAAAATTGTCAGTCCACGTTCAAACATTAATTTTAACTCAAAATGTTTGTTTTCTTCAAATCTTTCAATTTTTTCACAGACATCACATTTTCATCATCGATAACTATCT